CCTTAATAATAAACAAACTAAATATAGAAATTAAAATGAAGAAACAATTTATATTTCAAACCTGTAATTTCATTGTTTAATATTTCTTCAGGAAAATCAGCAAAATGAGCATCAAGCATAAGATCAATAGAAGAAACATCATCATGAGTTCTATCCTATTTACTAACTCTTTCAATACCTTGATGCCAGCCCCTCTCCATTAGGGAATAACAAATGGTATTGGAGAGGATTATAACATCCAAAATAATAATTTACTCTATGCTTATTACCAGAATGGGCATAAACAGATATATCATGAAACCCAATATCAGACCGTTCATCATTAACCGAAATTGCAGCCACTTGCGATACTGTTGGAGCATTATAAACTCTCTAATCCATACCCAAATTATATGTAATTTTTATTTCACAGCTTTTCAAATCAGCAACATTGGTTAAACCTTTAAAAAATTTTGCGTATGGATTTATGTCTAAAATGTGAACTATTTTTTCAATGATTGATTGAGAAAGCTATCTGATATTTTTAAGCAATTTTGTATCTCATTCTCAGTATCATAAAAATAAAGTTGTAGATAAGAAGGGCTAGAATCCATGGGAAGAAGTTCATTTAGGTAATGATATATTTGCCCTTGAATCCTAAAAGAATATATTCATTTATTTCTTTAACACAAGTCTTTATCATACTTTACACCAAATGAAGCAAAAAAAAAAAATTACAATTGTAAATTCAAATATAAGTTCTAAAGTCAAATGATTCGTCAAATGTAGATGTAAATAAACGATGTAATTCTGGAGGTATATCATTGATTTTTGGTTTAATACTCCCATTACAACAGCAAAAACCCTTACTTTCTTTATGAATTTTTTTTGCTCCACAGGAATCACAAATTGTTGGCTGAGGTAACAAGCAAGATTTGGTTGGAATTCGCTGTAAAATATTGGAGGCATATTCTAACACTTGAAATTATCGCAAATGAGTAAAACCTAGTCAAAGAAATAAACAATCTATAAACTCGGGTAGACACAACAATGCAAAACACAAAAGCGAAAGTATAAGCCGACTGTTTGTTGAACATCATCGACACTTGTAGTTAGCATATCACCTAAAACAAAAATATAACTTAGATGAGAAAAATTAAAAATACATTGCAGAGAAAACCAAAATTTACAAGAGCTGTACAAAGGAGAAAAAAAAAAAAGAAGCCTCAAATTATTTCTCACACGAAGTAATATAATTAACCAATACAAAGATTACATGTACAAAATGATAAATACAGTCAAAGAAAAAAACTCACAGGCCGTTGCAGCTATAGAAGTACCCTATCTTGCTATTGTTGCTGCTTTTCTTCTGGAATCTGTAGGTCGAGGCACTCGTTTCTGAACACACAGTTGTTGTTGACGTATGTTACGCAATTCTCGTGCCTGGGCATATAATTCTCTTCGTCGTGCATTCGAAGATTCTTTTGATTTAGCATAAATTACTCGGCGACGCCTTTTTTCTAGCTCAGAACTCCCA